GCTGCTGTGGTTGCTGTTGTGGTTGCTGTTGCTGTTGCTGTTGCTGTTCCTGTTGGTGTTGTTGTTGTTGTTGTGGTGGCTGTTGTTGTTGCTGTTGTTGTTGCTGTAGTTGCTGTTGTTGTTGGTGGTATTGGTGGTGTTGTTCTTGTTCTTGTTCTTGTTGTTGTTGTTGTCGTTGTTGTTGTTGTTGTTGTTACTATTGCTGTTGTTGCTATTGTTGTTACTGTTGTTGTTGCTATTGTTGTTGCTATTGTTGTTGTGGTTGTTGTTGCTGTTGCTGTTGTTGTTGTTGCTTTTGTTGCTGTTGTTGCTGTTGTTGCTGTTGTTGTTGTTGTTGCTGTTGTTGGTGCTGCTGTTGCTGTTGCTGCTGCTGCTGTTGTTGTCGCTGTCCTTGTCGTTGTGGTTGTGGTTGTGGTTGGTGTTGTTGGTGTTGTTGGTGTTGTTGGTGTTGTTGGTGTTGTTGGTGTTGTTATTGTTTTGGTGTTGTTATTGTTGTTGTTGTTGTTGGTGGTGGTGGTGGTGGTCGCGGCGGTGGTGATGGTCATGGTGGTGTTGGTGTTGGTGTGTTGGTGTGTTGGTGTGTTGGTATGTTGGTGTGTTGGTGTGTTGGTGTTGGTGTTGTTGGTGGTGTTGTTGGTGGTGTTGGCGGTGTTGGTGGTGTTGGTGGTGTTGGTGGTGTGGTGGTGTAGGTGGTGTTGGTGGTGGTGCTGGTGCTGGCGCTGGTGCTGGCGCTGGTGCTGGTGCTGGTGCTCGTGTTGTTGTTGCTGTTGTTGTTGCTGTTGTTGTTGTTGCTGTTGCTGTTGCTGTTGTTGTTGTCGTTGTGGTTGCGGTTGTGGTTGTTGTTGTTGTTGTTGTTGTTGTCGTTGTCGTTGTTGCTGCTGCTGTTGCTGTTGCTATTGCTATTGTTGTTGTTGTTGTTGTTGTTGTTGCTGCTGCTGTTGTTGTTGTTGGTTTTGTTGTTGTTGTTGTTGTTGTTGTTGTTGTCGTTCTTGTTGTTGCTGCTGCTGCTGCTGGTGGTGGTGGTGGTGGTCCCGTAGTGGCCGAAAATTGTCAAATAGGTTGTGTTCATGCGTGTTTTTGCAACTCTCGGAGCAAAATACACCGTAAATACCGATGTTTTTGGCGGGTTGGAAGCCCAAAACCACGGTAT